TGTAAAAAACCCAGAGAAGCTGATGTATCTAAGACGTCTCGAGAAATCGTTTAATTTATTTTCCCGGGCACTGTATAATACACTCCTGAGTGAACATTTTGGAAATGGGAAAAACAAAAATAACACATAGTGATAGGTCATACACATTTACGTATACCTTAAAGTACATGTATACTACTAACTGTAAATTAATTACTTACAATTACCACATTGTCACATTGTAATGTGACACCAGACCTCCGTAAATCACAAATTTGGATACATCAGCAGCGTGACATCAAGCTGAAGTCAATTGTTGACAACATTCTAACTTGTACCAGGTGGCTACTCACCACTATGACAAAAATTTTCTTTTTATTACACTGTTGGGTGAGTGATAATCGCATGAAGGTAAGACACCACCTGGAGAAATGAGAGATAATCAGCATCGATCCAAGAAGAGGTCAGACTCAGTTCCTTGGACCAAAATTCCATCACCATCTTGAAAGGACCTCTCTTGAGGGATTCATCTACTCTGAGTAGTTCTAAATAACATTCAAGATTAGTGTGGAGAAATTTTCTCCAGGAGGGGGGTATCAGCCCCCTTCAGCCCCTATCAGCCCTGAGGGGCCCAGCCCTCTCAGAAGGGGCAAATATCTTGTTTACTGCTACAGCGAGTAATTGATCCCAGATGCAGTACGAGTATGCGACGTGGTCAAGCGACCGCTGCTCCTTGCAGTCCAGTGTTGCAGAGTGTATTTTAATAAGAGACAGTCCATCTCTTACCTTAGCAGGATAATTAAGGAAAATCCTGCTCCCACTTTATTACCATAGTAAAGATAGTGGACATTGTTGTCTATGCGTAAGACAGCAAGATTCAAACATTCTGCTTTGCCTCATGGAGGAAGTGGCAAGGAAGCAAAAGTACTATGTCAGCTTTTCCTTTGTGCTAGGGGCAGTAACGGCATGGGGTGCTGTGGCATCTTCAGATTACTACTGACTCGACTGAGAGTGACACTGACGCCAGGATAACCAACAAAGAACGATCTGTGCGTTAAGTGTGAACAAAGTGTCCCATAAAACACAATAAACACTTAAGAGAAGTGTGATCAGCTTCTTTAGGATAAGATTGTGAACAATAAAGACAAATCTTGTGGAACATAGTGTACCAGTGTGTGTATTCCTAGACTATGGAAGACGTGGACATCCAAGGACACTTCAGCTTCTATCAAGTCACCGATATCTGTCGAAGGTGTGAAGAACACCACAGCTCACGCTACAAGAGCAAGGTAGGTTACGAATTTCTTGTAGTATGGGGGACTGCACAGTTCTTGAGTCACAAGGAGTTTGTAATCAACCTATAGTCGGCAGTAAGGTGCGGACTTTTGAGTCCACACAAGTAAGTTTGTCAGCCATCAGTGAATGAAATATGCTGACATAACACCCCCTAGGGGTAATTTATAATCTTACAAATTATGATCTATTCCAGCCCGTTGAGAGATGATCATGACAACAATTCAAGATCTCGTCTGCAGGGGCGGCTGTGTAGACGATTTGCTGTCTTTTATCAGCTAAGTGTTCCCTATATTTAAATTTATAAATTATATCTTAGTTGGTAAACCCATTTCTCAACAATTAGCATATATTGTAAATAATGTATTATCAAGAATATTGTGGAAAATTACATTTACCTGGATGTATCTCATTAGATACATACCAGTAAATGGTAACAAAGATAATTATTATTTATCAAAGTTACAGAGACAAGTAGGAATTTCTGGGACACCTAGGTCGCAAAAAAATGTCCCCCTTCGATACCTACCATAATCTATCTCTCCACAAATTGCTCTAGACCTATTAATTGCAAATGAAATATACATTACCAGGAATTCTGGTAAAATTTAATAAAAATTTGTGGACTATATTAAAATTAATAAATGATTACATATACACATTTATATAACAGAAGAATGTATAATTATAACACTCGCCAATTAGTCTGGAGATTACAGTGTCATGTACAGAAACCCCCCTCTACCTAAATTTATGATGATAATACTGGCCAGAATTACAAACATAATTTAGATAGTTTATCTGAGGTTCCTTGAGATGTCCTGTCTATCTGCTGCTCAAATTATGCAGAACTGCACATCCAACAATTTCGGCTCCTATTTGAGAGGTTTTAAGCCC